GTGATCTTTCAACCTTTCCGCGAGCCGCGTAAATTATAGTGCATAGGTTGGTCGAAGAGCCAATATTACATTATTATTTACACACGTCGCTGAAAGGTTTATGCAACGATGCTCGACGGGGGAATTCTTGTTTTATTGGGCTGGTTCGTTCGCGTTCGAACGACGTGAAAGTGTCGTTATTACCGATTGGTATCGGTGAATCGTAAATCGTCGCCGCATAAGATATTTGTTTTTGAGGAACCCGACGAAAGAGACGCACATTCATCAATTTTATTCACTTGCGAGCGTATAAATTATGTATTCCGCGAACTCTCGTGCAATTTACGATTTTCGTGATTTACGTTCGATCATTTTATTCCGAGGGATCATAAGATCTACGTGTATTCGTACTTGTCTCGGCTCATGCGGTTAATTAAAATTCAAATAAAAATCCAAATTACTTTGAATAACCGTTTTAAGGAATTATCTTTGTAACATTTCTTCACGGTTTTATGCTGATATAATTGCATAAAATATGGGACCGTGAATGGTAAACACAAACAGCACACATTTTTTAATATAAGAATCAATCAAAAGAGTAGAATATAACAGATGAAAGCTTCGATTTTGGAAATCTTTGAATAAATTGAGGAAATCACAAGGAAATTATTTTTCTAAATATTATTTCGATGCATAAATAATAAAATTTGTAATATACTAAAATTGATTCTGAATAATTATTTTTTTAAATCACCATTAAATATGGAAATAAACGTTAAATTTACGTAATAATCTACGAAACCATGAAATTTGTCTGAAAATATCTAGTTATTACCGGTCAAGAAAGCATTTGAAATAAAAATCAACCGACACTAGATCTGATTCATTAATCGACCGGCACCATCAACTCCGTATCGACTTTCAATGAAATTTCCATCACACGGATGGATCAATGAAACACCGTGCAACACATGTCCCATCGGGGACATTAGTCTTCCAACGAAGTGGGGTCAGATACCGCGTATTTTCACTGCGAGCGGCACAAGTATCGCCATCAATCTTCATTAGCGCTCTGAAATTCTATAGACCGAACAACGGTGATACAACTGACATAACGTGCAACGAGACGAAATAAATTACGCACGCCCGTGTATAGATCATTATTGTGCTCCTCTCGTTATTTTATTTTTTCAGCGGTCTACTCGCCGCTGCCTTAACAGCGACTTTCCTTTTGTTCTCTATTAAATCGGGGAAATTAATTAGTTGCAGCGCCTGAGATTTAATATCACGTTATCGATGTTCAAGAACAGACGCAACGATAAATCGATCATATGTACGCTCGATTCGAAACTATTACGTTCGATTTGTGAGCAGTGATATAAATTCAAAAATATCCGTGTCTATTTTGCCCTGTATCGCCTGAACAATCGATTCTTTCGATTTTTTGAGGAAGGGAAACATGTGCACTGGTAATGGAAATTGTCACGGTGATAAATGTTACGGTGTCCGATTAATTAGTTCCTGGAGGACTTTGAGTAATTAATTTTGATTTTCCTCAACGTGTAACTGACGGAGTGTGTTTCTTTTATTAATAATCTAATGATTCATTTGAGAGATTGTATCTGACTTCGTAAATTAATATCGGTTATGAGGTATTATGGGGAATGGGAAATTTCTTTTTTTAGTTTAATTGGGAGATAGTGGCCGTAGTATGAGTACTTAACCTTTTGCAATTTAGCGACAGAATTAATAATGAAAAATAGTGTATAAAGATTAAAGAAACTGGTAACAATTAGATTTAATGATTCACCGTCGCATACTGTTTGAATCAATTTTATCTATAGGCAAACTTTAATTATTATATTTTTTCTTGTTATAGGACAGTTTATATGTATACATATAGACAGTATAATGTAGGTAGAAAGAAATTTCTTCGTATAATACAATGTAAAATTCAATCAAATTTAAGTGACGAATTAATGTAAAAATGACCTGAAGGGCAACGTTAGATTTAACATTATAACTACCAGAGCAGTCAAAACGACTGATTCGTAAACTCTTATTGCAATATACACATAAGTGAAGAAGTTCGTTAATTTACCGATTTGTTAATTTACAACAAGCTCTCCGTTTTTCAACATAACAAAAATAAGAACACGTTCATGTTTGGTAGCTCTAGTATTAAATTATCTTGCATTCGAAATCATCAAATTCAGTAGTCTACCATCTCCATAAAATAATTCTCCTACAAATTGCTATTGATTTACATTTTAAACAACATTAATTACTTCTGCTAATGTCAATTCAGTTGTATCACATTGAGAAACACCCTAAGAGTGAGAGCACATATTTTAATTAATAATTTTCACACTCTTAAGAATTACCTAATATTTCTTTAAAATTCTAATCCTCGAACAATTTAGAATTAGAGTGGCCACATTTAAAAACCTACTTAATAATTTTTATGTTGAAACATGTGAATCTTTTATTATTCCATGAATTACGTTATTTCATTAAAACTTTTTACTAAAGAAAAGAGGAAAAGTGTTATGAGACAATTGAAGAATGCCAGAATGAAACTAGATCTCCCGTAGATCTCAAAAATTGAACTGGATTTCTGGATCGAACCCTTTTACAACTTTCACTGTACTACTACGACAAGAAACATTGCGCAACGTAGTCGAGGGGCGTTTCAACCTTCACTATTTTTTTACACACAGGAGTCGAGAATCAATTTATAGAATATCCATAAAATACACGTCCTTCGACGCGAGAATGTAGTCGAGCTTCAGAATTCACGAATGGATTCCATGGAATTTGCTTAAAACAAACACGCGTGCCATATGGTCTTGTTAGAGAGCAACGAACTAACCGTAAACAAATGTATTCGCACCAGCTTAGAGGGCTAAAATTAAATTATTCCGTCGATGCTTCCGCTCTTTTCTATCAATCACCGATTTAACATCGAAATATATGAAGATAAGTTCTAGAAAAATTAACAGATCATACATTTCATAAGCAAAATTTTGGAAATCTTTAATTTAACAGGTCCATTCATAAATTAAAAAAAATTAAAAGAAATTATTTTTCTAGGTATTATTTCATAGCATAAATAATAAAATAATATTTCGTAAGTGATTCTAAATAATTACTTTTCTAAATCAGCCTTAAATATATCAAAATAAACGGTTTTATCTAAAGAACGAAGAGCTGTTGAATGAACCACTTAGTGAAGTACCACAAAGTGTTATTTTTAATTAATTCTTAATTATCTCAGTTACGAAATTTGCATTTCATTTTCAACCATAACTTTGGCTAATTGGCTTCAGCAACGCACGCAATGTGGATTAGCACTACAAATAATGAGTTGATATGAAATGTACTCTTTCTGGCAGATGTATGAAGGTAACAAGTATATAATAGTTTGGTAAAAAGAAGAATTCGATGTGTGACTCCGTAACGGAATTTATGATCTACCATGCTACAGATTATCTAATAGAGCATACTATATAATTAATATATCGTTACATGGAATCGACCAGTAATTATACGGCTGGCACTATCTGTTATAAAATAAGACTGACATTTCACTTTGATTCCTACAATGATCATAATCCGTTTTCCACAACATCATATAATTAATCATGTCTTAAATATTGTAAAAGACACATTACACGTAATCATACATCCATAAACTGTACAATTATAATAATGTACAAGGTGTACAATAAATGGTAAGACTAAAAAGCATATAATTCTGAACGTAAAAATGTATCCAAATCGCGGGATTCAACTTTTTTTGTAAGACGCTTCGTTTTGTAAAACACTAACTATAAAAGTTGGCCAAGAAGTAACTTTTTCATATTTCCGTACCCAATTTACACGTACATAATTAGTTACATAACAGGTATATGTATTTAGATATTATTTATATATTTTCTATAGAACCTAATAAACATCTACACTACGATCTATTGAACTAATTTTGACAGCACACAATGTTATAAATTGTTTGTCTAGCAAACCAAATTTCTTATGAACAAATTTTATTCCACGTGTTCAACTTGCTTTTGAAACAGAAAATTATATGGTAGGATACATTGGATATAAAAATATCTTGAAAAACATGTACGCGAAAAGGTTGAGAACGGAACATTGTTAAAATATTACTACATTGTACTGTACAATACTATAGTTATGCATATGATTGTCTGGTACGTATCATGTTTTGTGTCGAGATGCAATTAAGGAGGGAGAGAACAAGAGAAGGAAGAAGACAGAGAACTCGGTAGAAATATACAGAACCGACACGAACGAGTCGAGTTCTCGACGCCCACTCGATCTCACAATAGGGAGTAGTAAGACAATCGAGCTGAAACTGAACGTACGGTGTGTCGTCTCGCCTCGAGGAATATACAAGCTAATTCTGCAGTTTTTCATCAGCAACAAAATTACATCATCGCAAAAATCGCGGCAAAAATCACAGGTATCACCGATTAACGATCTAAAAGTTACACCTGTTTTACGTGTGAGCACGCCTACGCTTTAAACGATCTTTACCACTTGTGTATTTCAAGCATGCTAAACGTAATTATTTACTATTACTATCATTCATCCTGTACGTATGCTTAAGTGTCAGCTGTCGGCCGTTTCCGTTAACAATAGAGAGGTGTATCCGGATTCGTAACCGGAAAGCATGTATTTATAGTGCCGATTTGTTGTATTCATAATTCACACGGCGAATTATTCACATACTGTTCAAGCTTTAGTTTTTACTTTACCAAAAATCTTATTCTGATTTTATGACAGTTAGTATCTCAGCCTTGAGAAACATTTTTTATCTATTCATTTAGGATCGAATATATTAAGTCAAACGTAATTAACCTACAGTATTGTTCCCGTGAAATAAATACAACTAGATATCTGAACTCTAAAATACTCTAAGAAATACTTAAACATATCATTTGGTCTCAAAGTAAACATTTTAAATTTGGTAAAGATATATTTTTTATACGACTCACCATATGTTCCACTGCTTTTTCCTCCAATTCTGCTAAAGTCCAGTCGATATGAAAACTCAAAGGTTGGAGACGAGACTCCATCTCACGGAGCCATTTTCTCAAACACTTCACTTCATGCTCAAAATCTATGGCACAATGTCACAACCAATGAGTCATGGTAATTGAGATTTACAATTTTAAGTATTCATTGCTGGGAGAATAATTTACCCGCTGATATATCCTGCTGATTGGATATGGGCCGCTCAACAGGTGCCATAATTTGTTCAACTAATTCCCATTTCGCATTCAAATGGTCAACACGCCACGCTACTTCGTCTTTTAAAGCAGGGGCACGTGACACTAATTTTGCAGCTTGTTCATTGAATAACTTTCTTCTGTAAGCCCTACGTCGCAGCTCCTCCATGTGAGCCTGAGACAAATTTAACATTTTAAATACTAACATGTAACAACTATGATTGAATATAATTTTATTTCTTATACTAGAGGCTTCGGAATATTATTAGTAATAATGCACAAGTAGCATTAAGCTTTATTAAAATCTTTAGATGTAATAGATCTGAATGATACATACCGCACGCAGGCTTTTATCTAACAGATTTTCTTCCTTAGAATAAACCAATTCTTGTAGAACTGTAAGCCATGTATATAGTTCTGAGAATTGACTACTAACTTCTTTTAAACTCCATGATTGTGTAGATACATCAGTCTCATCCCATGTTAATTCACCATTAGCTTCCTATTAAGACCACAGAGAAGTTTATAGAATAAGTATATTAGATTAAATTACACAAGATATCACACAGAGACATTAGACCATCATATGCAAGATATAGCACTTACCTTACAACTATCAATTAAATTAGTATCCATAATATAATCATAATTAGATCGTATTGCTGCCCAGAAGTCATCTTTGCAGTCTTCACGATTTGTCCACAAACGTTGACTGGAAAATTGCTTTGGATCTTTCCTATAATGTCAATAAATATTTTATAGTTTGGTTAATTGTTTCAACAGACAAATTATTTTACTCATAAACAATAATACAAAAACAGTTACTGATAGTACAACACTTTAAGAAAAGTTTATAATATGTTCATTACAGCAGTTGAAAAAGAACTATATCAAATCGAATGTAAGATATAAAACAAACCGTTTTTTTGTGAGACTGTTGTATGGTCTTTCTATTGCTATCCCCGCTTGGCCATGCTTGTCCAAGCCATGGCCTAATGGCTGAAGCGAAGACAAGGAGAAGCTCATCTTCATGGCTTTGCATTGGTCTGCAATAAACAAAAGTAACAGTTAATATATCTGCATTGAAATAAAGCTTAACAAAGAAAATTCATCTGACTAAAATAAAAGTGAATGCATGCAATGAATGTAGAATCGGTATCAATATTTCATACAAAGATAAAACTAAAGTATTGGTCAATATGTGACATATTGATACTAGTACAATAATACATTTGAACATAATTCAATGTAAATACATTTCGAATGCAACATATGTATAAAATAAGTTAAAGAAAACATATACGTGCTGTATATGTTACATATAGTATAGTACTTGCCACAAAAACAAAAATATTAGATAACACACCTTTTAATTAATTCTTGTAAGTGATAGTTCTGCATGTTTCTTATAAAGATTTGATGTTAGTTTATACTATTGTAATGTAATAAAACATTTACTGAATATGATATACACTTTTTACTTATAGGTCTTGGCTTAGATTCGAAAACAAAGGTAGTTGTATATATATTTAAACTTACAAACAGACAACAAAAGAGATAAGATTATAACCTCCAAGACCCATTGTGTAGGAAAAGTGCTTTGTGATCTTATAATACTGTCAAAAGTAGCATTCTCATAATTCACCTACCGAGCATAATGAACTGTATCCCGCGTGCACGAAAATATTAAAGAAGCAAACTCGTATCACACCATCTTTCAGTACCTAAGTTGAAAAGAGAATACTCTTTTAATGTATTGGACGCAACACAACATACAGTTTTTTCAGACTGTATTATTTTAAATACATCGGTCAATCGCACGTGTAGGTACAACATTTGGGCGTGTAATGTGTACACACTGTGTACACATGTATTTCACCCAGGTAAGGTGGCATTACGTGTCTACTTTATCGGGAATACTGGACGTCTCATGTAGACTCCGGCTTAAGTTACGAGATAAGAACACAAGAAATTATGAAGTCGCCTCGAAAAACATTAATGACTCCCACCGGGATACTCACTCATTCTTATCGTAAGTAGTCATGAAATAAAGGTAACATTCTTTAAAACGGTCTCACTGTAAATGCATTATTCAGCGCACAAGAAAAAAACGTGATTAAGGAAACCGGAGAACGTTGCAACGAGAATTCGATCTGGTCGGGCTGCACTCCGCTGTTGCATGCATGCATCCAAGGCAGCAGCTTCTTGCCATGCAAGTAGGTATGCAAACAATATATCGATACGCCAAAGATATCGATACACCTGCCTGGAGCCACTTGTCTGAATCCGCATCGAACATATTTTATTGGACGTTAATCACGCATCAACACTTCAATCTCGATGCATCGACGTAATATTGTATCGATACCCAAGCAAATACTTTTTACATTCTTTCCCGAAGTAAACGTTACTGAAAAACTTTAAGTAATACTGCGTTCACTCACTCATTTTACTTGCCACGGTCCTGAATAGATAGTCGACCCATTTAAACGCACTGTTAATTACGTATCGTTGACATTTGCGTAATTTTTAAAACAACGAGTCCGCCAATTTTTTTTGTTAACAAAATACCGCCTCACACACTGCTGTGCACACCAACATGCACCGACGTGCACTGCCGTGTCGCGCATGCGTACAGCGCGACAAGTGTAAGGAGCCTATGGTCATGGCGGATTCTCAGTAACATATCTATTCTTGTTAGGGGAGTAAAGCAGAACCAACTGACGTGCAATAAACTGAAATAGAATTAGAAGGGGTATTTTTATATTTGCAATAAGAGAACACGAATGACCGCGACAAATTATTAGACAAAGTACTCCAGGTCGCATGCCTATCATATGCGGGTATGCTTATTTTTGAAATGTATTTTGATCGAAGACTGAAATGTTAATGGCCATCAACTCATGGAACGAAATAGTCTACTAACTAAAACTACTAGTATGAAAGTCGCGTTTTCGTCTATACAATTTGCAAGCAAAAATTTCAATAACTTTTAATAGAATCATCTTATTTTTTGTTGCAGGTAACTACCGTTCTTTTACAATCACTCAAATTGTATGTAAAAAAAAAATAAACGTGTGAATATAAACTTTGTTTGTCTCTCTAGTAAGTATGGATAACTTATGTAAAACCATAAATTTCCGCGTTCTAAAGTTTCCACATATTTTTCTTCCCAGATATCAAGTACTCATGATCTATGCACATAACTGTTAATAATATGGAAATAGTTCACGACCACTAGGAAATCATCCTTCTGTACTCGAAGATAATTCATTTTTGTGTTGCAATATTTAAAAAAAACAATGTTCATTTTGTGCTAATACTACAATTTTGCGAAGTTATTAAATAACACAAGTATTTCCCAATTCAGATTTAAAATACTACTAAAACATATTTTAATTGTAAGAACCAACTGAAGACAATCCACAAATTATGTAACTACTAACCATAGAACTAATAAAGTAATTTAGGAAAACATAAAGGACGGGTAACATATGAAACAATAGTATTTGTAAATCCGCTCGTTTATTTCATCTGGTTTCTCATTGAAAAACCTCGATGGCTGTCAGTTTAGTATTCTTCGGCTCCTTCTCCTTCACCCTCAGCAGAATCCATACCGACCTCCTCGTAATCCTTCTCCAAAGCAGCAAGATCCTCACGTGCCTCGGAGAACTCACCCTCTTCCATACCCTCACCGACGTACCAATGTACAAATGCTCTCTTGGCGTACATCAGATCAAACTTATGATCGAGTCGAGCCCAAGCCTCTGCAATAGCAGTAGTGTTGGACAACATGCAGACAGCGCGTTGTACCTTAGCAAGATCACCACCGGGTACAACAGTAGGTGGTTGGTAGTTAATGCCAACTTTGAATCCAGTTGGACACCAATCGACGAATTGGATCGTGCGTTTTGTTTTGATAGTCGCGATAGCTGCATTAACATCCTTTGGTACAACGTCTCCTCTATACAACATACAACAGGCCATGTACTTTCCGTGACGAGGGTCGCATTTGACCATCTGATTGGCTGGCTCGAAGCAAGCATTTGTGATTTCCGCGACAGAGAGCTGTTCGTGGTATGCCTTCTCTGCTGAAATGACTGGAGCATAGGTGACCAGAGGGAAATGAATTCTTGGGTAAGGTACCAAGTTAGTCTGGAATTCAGTCAGATCAACGTTAAGGGCACCATCGAAACGAAGTGAGGCAGTGATCGAAGAAACGATTTGACCAATCAGTCGGTTCAGGTTTGTGTACGTCGGTCTTTCGATATCCAAATTACGGCGACAGATATCGTAAATAGCTTCATTATCGACCATAAATGCACAATCGGAATGTTCTAAAGTAGTATGGGTGGTAAGAATCGAGTTGTAGGGTTCAACCACAGCAGTGGAGACTTGGGGTGCCGGGTAAATTGCAAACTCCAACTTTGACTTCTTTCCATAATCCACAGAAAGGCGTTCCATCAACAAAGATGTGAAGCCAGAGCCAGTGCCACCTCCAAAGGAGTGGAAGATGAGGAAACCTTGAAGTCCTGTACATTGATCTGCAAGTTTGCGAATGCGGTCCAAGACAAGATCAACAATTTCCTTGCCAATTGTGTAATGACCACGAGCATAATTGTTTGCAGCATCCTCTTTGCCTGTGATTAACTGTTCTGGATGGAAGAGTTGACGATAGGTACCTGTGCGAACCTCATCTGGAAAAAGAATTTATAGAATGAAAGAGTTCTCATTGTAAAAAACAATTCTAACCAGATGTTAATATAAATTACATACCGACTACTGTAGGCTCTAAGTCTATGAAAACAGCTCTGGGAACATGTTTTCCGGCACCAGTTTCACTAAAGAAAGTGTTAAAACTGTCGTCACCTCCTCCAATGGTTTTGTCTGATGGCATTTGGCCATCAGGCTGAATGCCATGTTCCAAACAATATAATTCCCAACAGGCATTACCAATTTGGACTCCAGCCTGGCCAACGTGGATTGAGATACATTCACGCTGAAAAAGATAATTGAATATAAGTTTGGTATATAAATTAAAGTTAACAGAATAATGCCATTAGAAATTTGGATACTTAATATTTTAGATTTTCTATAAATTACACATATTATAGAAATTATATATATAATTGTTACCAGAGGCACCTTTCATAAATTGAAAAAATAATTATAAAAGTATGTGTAATATTTAGAATTTGTTAATAAAAATTACATCCAACAAAATGTTAACCAAGATATTTCCTAACGGAATATGTCAGCCTCTTTGAAATATCGATCGCATCAACAACCGACGCGCACTTCCCCCCGCTCCTTGACAGAAGTGAAACAACGAACGTAACGGTTTTCACGATTTCACAAAGCTACACTCTCTACAATTAACCCATTTTTCCATAAAAAGAAATTCGATGAAATGAATCATTATCTATATTATGAATATTTAGACGCCAAATGTGAAGCATGACAAAAAGGGCGGAGCCGGCCGGTTCAGGCGTTGCTATCTAATGCCCCCATTAATTAACACGCCGATCTCGTAAACGCGTCATTCTTTCGGTTCAAAACTAACAAGAATTAGTCTCTTACCATTTTGAAGTCTGAAGAAGTTTTTTACGTTCACGTAAAAATCGGGTAGTCGATAGTTAGAGCAAGTAATGGAGCTACTGCTATCAACACACACGTTCGAACACTAAACGATTAATGCGCGAGGGACGCCTGCAACGGGATCTTATACCCTTGACTATCGACTCTTTCTGCGCACGACCATTGGCCGCCGGTGACCTCACCCATCCTTCCCATTGGTCGTTTCTCGACCGCAGCACGCCAGAACGCCTTCACGCATGTTTCCTACTCGCAAAATATAGTACCATGCTTCTGTCATGCGACATTTATTTTATTGATTTTACAAATTTCCACGAGGAAATTGGCATCGAATAACCTGTTCGTTGACTCAGCAACGGTTAATATCCGATCAACCCCTTCATATCAATCCATTACGGTAGCTGAACAACTTATTCACGATATGCATTGTGGCTTCATATGATACAATAAAACGTACATGAAACGAATACTGCCGTTCTCTATGAACATTTTCGAAATTATCTTTGAGAATTTTGAATCATTATCATTGTTGGAAGATAAGAATAATTTCACGTCAACTACATTAGGTCTGAAATGGTATAACATTAATACATGAATCGTGTCCTTCGTAGATTCGCATTATTCGTAAACACGACCCCATTAACAACTTATGGTCATAATGAGATTGGTCGTTAAATCATGTTACGCGTTGCATAATTAATAAAGACCTAACGGTAATTGCTATTTTTATTGTGAAATATAATTCTCAAAGAATTTTCACTCGGTAATTAGACTTTAATCTGGTTAGAATACTAATTTACATGTTCATTTTCGCACGGTGTAATACACTGAATAAAAATATCGAGAAATAATTTTTTATTGGGAGTTGTATACAGGATGGAACGTAATTTGTGGTACAACTGCAAAAAGAATGATAGGGGTCTCCGTTTTCCAGAGAATTGGTTTTGAAAATTTGTCAGATATGCATACAATTGAATACGGTTTGGCTATCGCGTCATGCCGTCACTGATTGTTTCTATCCGTGTTACTGTTTATAAACATTGACAGTGGTATAAGTCAAATAATACAAAAGGTTTTTGCAAATTATTTGTTTTATTTTATTGTATTACAAGTATGGTCTTATAATCCCCCCTCCACTCTCTCGTTGCCGCATAAAGTGATCCTACTTGACGAACTAAAGAGGAATAAACGAGGGGTACATTTTCTACAATACTTTTAACACAATACAAAAAAAATAATTTGGAAAAACCTGTATTATTTGAACCGCTTCACTGGTAATGTTTATAAACACTGACACAGTCAGAAACAATCAGTAATGGAAATACACGATACACAAGTCGCATTCAGTCTACGAGTACCTAATGAATTTTCAAAACCAATTTTCTCGAAAACGGAATCCCGTAAGAAAAAACTTCGTACCATATTTATTGTTTGCCTCACTCCGTACATATGTATGTATATAAATTGAGTTTTTCACTATAGTATTTCATGAAATGATTGTCGTCAAGATTTCACAATGTGCGTGAGCAGAGATGCTTGAGAGAAAGTTGCGTGGTTGTAAGAAGTAGTACTTGATCTTTTTTTTCGCAATGTAGGCCTCGCATATTATTATTGGTCTTTAAATTAAAATTTGTAAAAATTTCTTTATCGATCTTTCAGAACACTTGAAAGAAGATATTCTTTTGTTTCCAATGGTAACTAATTGTATAATTTCACTATGTCGAAATAAAATTTGCGATCTTTCATTTCATGTGACTACTGTGAAATATAACTAGGTAAACGTTGAATTAAACGATTTACAATAAACAACACTGTAGACCTTTCGCCAGTATAGAGCAAATTAATGTGACATTTATTCTTAATTGCAAAACTACGACAGTTGCTTATGGATGTTGAACTTGTTCATTGGCTAAGAATAGACATTGCTCTGGACCTATGTAACTTACAGGTACAGATAATATGCGTGTTTATTATCTGATGAATGAAGTAAAAACTCCGATTTTAGGTAAATTTTGTTTTTAAACTATTAATGTATGAAAAATATACATTTCGGAAATGGAAAATAGACAACTTTCCAATTTCTTCAGTATCCTTTGTCTTTACGTCCATTAAAGCTTTAGGTTGTATATATTTAAAAAAAATTAGCGAATCTATAAAATTTCGTAAACTATCCTAGTCAACATTGTAAAATATTTTATTAATAGTTGAATCAATGGACGTATTAGGAATTCCAAGAGTTCTGTATGAGACTAGTATCTGCGCTCCTACGTCATGCTCTTTAAAATTAGCAAACGCAGAAGTTTGCCACAAAAGAAAGAAGGTTAATAAGCAACTCCGTGTATTGTTCAAATGGGTTCTGCTTTTTCTGCTTGAGCGGATTATTGAAATGTTTCTTCTCGAGGAGAAGAACCAAGGAAGGATGAGAGTTACCGATGGGAGTGCGCGTGAACATTCGAGAAGACGAGGGCAGGGCACCGAGTATCACGGCTCAAAATAACTCAAGTCTGCACCAATGTGCATGCAAAATAATTGTGCAATCTCCGAAGAGGGAGATTTGCAGGACTACTTAACCTTCATATAGATATAAGAGCCTATGAGGCTATTTTATAGTATTATTTCACAATGAACATAATATAATATGTGTAATAATGAATACAAATAATAAGACATATAATAAATAATACAAAATTTAATGTTACTAGGTACTTTACTAAATAAACTGAATTGAAACAAGTAAAATATATTTGAATTATTAAGTTCAGCTATTCTGTACTGGGAGCCTATGAGGCTCTTCTCCATTCTACATATCCTGATGAAGGTCAGCCCTAGTGCACTGTTCGGGTTAATTTGACTCGAACCACAGACGAGATATAGAATAGACCTAACATCTTATGGGACTTCGTGTCACATGTACTATAATCTGAAATTCTAAAATAACGATCGTCCAAAAAATCAGAGATTTTCTGCTGCCCTCTACGTTATGGAAACAGTGAATTTGGGAATTACAGTAGAAGCTAGTTTATTGCAGGTTATTTTATTCTACATAGGAACGGGCGAAATTTCCGAAAACCAATCTCACCCGATGTGAACACTAAATTATAATGAATCCAATTTGTTTGTTTATTACTTAACGTTGTCTTGTACTTGTAGTATAAATTACATGTCTTTCATACTTAATAATCTTAATTACTATCTATGGCATGGAATCTGTAATATAGAAATTATCGTAACACTTTTAGTTTGACGCGTCCTAACATGTAATATTATTGTATCATTTCAAATGTTCGAAATCCTTTGTGATTACGAGTTTCTAATTAGAAAACAATTCATGATCTAAAATAGTTTCTAATAAACAGTAAAAATTGTATTCAGGTAACATATTTTTAGATTATACGGATAATTTTGCGTGAAGTATTTTTTTTTTACTGTACCAACCTAAGATATAGATTACTGTACTTTAAATGTATAATTGATAAGTCAATAATAAAGAATGACCTTGAATTTGAATGCCATTTGTTATCTAAATGGGCCAGTAGTTTAATTACAGATTCGTTATTCGCCGTTTTCATAAACAGTTATATGATTCATTTCCATTAAAATAATTTCACAAAATTCACAGAATAAATATTATAATCTAAAATCACCATGATTTTATACGAATAATAGGTAAAAAATTAAATAAGTCAGTTTCTTCGAAAACCATTCGGCTTTATATACTTTAATTATGTCTATAGAAACATCACTGTATTATTTACAAACATGAACACGTCACAACTGCAATGTTCGCATCACAAATAATGATTATGGCAATTATTCTCAGCCTCGTACTTAATGAAGCTAACACAGGTTTTTTCTAATGATTACAACCGACCTGCAGCCATGTCTATTAAATTCCTCTCGAAAATTCTAAATTTACATCATATAACGATGCAACCATTGATGCCCTTCAAATTAAATTATTTCAACTTATATTAGTTAAGTCTGTTAAGAGTACAACAAATAAGATGACAAAATACAATGACAATAATTTTTCCGTACAAAAATGTTCCTGCCTTAAAATTGATGCACATCAAGGAATGAGACTTTAAATGTTCTATTTCATGATAAAATGTTCTGCACTATTATATATATATTCGTATACATAAATAGATTTGGTTAGAATCCTTGCATATAAATGTTGCAAACTGATTGCGTATGTATGTCTTAGCATTTGCATACGCAACAACGTATAATGACTCGATATTGAGAACAGATTATACGTTGTGTATATATGCCTCTTTATGCTAATTTATTTCATAATGCGAGTATGTGCAGTAAATATCGGCAGAAACTTTTCTACATTTCATCTTACAAATTCACCTAAACTTTTTTAGACTACCGGGTTACACGGCGCATTTTGAAGCTCACTACAATCAATGTTTCTAGCCTTTGTGAATAAATTATTATATGTTTTTCATAAATGCTAAATATTTTACAAAATTTACGAAATTTCTAGCATATAAATTTGTTTGTCCCTTTCCTAAGCTTTCACGCGTTTGTGATCATTTATGGTTAATTACCGATGCGGCCCAGGTTCTCGATCTCAACCACGAATCTCCAACCACTTTTATGATATCTATAGGAAGAGGAAATTGTTTCAGCTATTAGCTGGGCGGTATAGCTTTAGCAGTTTGTCCGAAACCTAAATTAGGCCGGGTCCCAAACCACGACATTTTCCATTCTAAGGTTTCCTGAAGTAACCGTTCCTCTTCAGGTGAAAAGTGTAGAAGAGTAGCGACCGCTCTCGTTAAATGGAGAGCCTTCAGATATAGAAAAATAATGATATATCAAAATACAACACAAATTTAAGCATCAAATCATGTAGTCAATAGCTACTGTGTTATAGTTAAGGTTAATATTACGTAACACAAACTTTACCTCATATTCCCTACTCGTTAGGAACTTTATGAGAACATGTTTAAGGTACTTGAAGTTGACATCATCATCTCTTGTGTTGTTATGCCTGGCAGTGACAGTCTTCGATGAACTCGGTTTGAGAATTGCTGCAGAAGGCTCGGCATCGCTATCCAGCGATGATGATGGAACTCTCAATTCACGTTGAAGAGTTTTCTTCATGTCTGTCAACCGTTGTTGCAAGACTTTGATTGTCTAAAAATACCCACAACAATTAGCATTCCGTGGAATATTTTATTCTCCACCAAATCTGTTGTATTTACCTTAGATTTCTCATTTAACTGTTCTTCTAAATCCATCAAGCTACTTTTAAGAACTTTCTCGTTTCTTTCCATTTTCTCTCGGTTCTCTTCTCCCTCCTCTAATTTTGATACTCGCTGTTTGGTTTCTTCTAGTTTTGCAATTGCTTCGTCCATTTCCTTCGTTTTTCTCTCTAAACTGTGCTCTAGACTTTCTACCCTGTTTTGAAGTTCTGTATTCTCAGTCTCGTGTCGTCGATTCTCTTGCCTTACAATCTCAATATCTTGAGAAACTTGAGCGTTTCTCAGCAACGCAGTATCCTTTTCTCCCCTTTCTTTTTCTAGGCATACTCTTAGCGTTGCCGATGCTGTACGCTCAGATTCCAGATCTTCCCTTAAACGTGCTACCTCTAAATGCAAGGAAGAATTATTTGTTCGTTCTCCTTCCAAAGACAAACGGAGATGTGCTACTTCAGAGGTGGCTGTCGAAAGTTTTGTTTTCGCTTCCTCAAAGTCCTGCTTCAATTGGGCGATCTCCTTTGACGAACATTCCTGGCAAGGGAATCAAAATAGAATAACATGAATGATATATAACATTGATGCTATTCAGCATTAAGACAGTAATTTTTTGTTTATAGAATTTACTGAAATGTTACGTATCATAGACATCTTTGGAATTTATGGTACAATCGGAATTTATTATCGAAAGAGTACAGAGTAAAGCAAAATGTAATATTCATAAATATCTTGTGGACTTAGGTTAAACATAAGTAAAATTAACATGGGGCAATAAGTAAAAGATTCTAAAAGGAATATTTTGATGAACTTTTTACAGTTATGTTTAAGCTGACTTTGAAGCTTATAGTTTGATTAGTAGAAATGTATAAGTTGCTCTTGTTTCTTGTAGCATATTATTTTAATAGTAATTAAAAATTTATTTTACACATAATACATTTAAGTGTATTTACCAAGAAATCATCTCTCAGTTGAAAAATCATTTGAATACAAATATTTGTTTTTCTGGGTCCTAACACAATGAGCTTTATTATGAAATCTATGTAAAGACATATATGAAGAAAATGCAAACATATTTATACTGGAGTGGTAGTCTTTTAACGGATATCGCTTGTGCCATTAATTCCAAAGCTAGAACCAGCAATAAACTTGGAACATACTCAAATTGGTATGGAAAATTTTTAGTACATGACTTTTGATTTCTCAACGAAGTTTATAAATGTTTTTATGTAACCAGTGTATCTTCTATTCTATAAAATATACAATACGTTTTCCTCAAATCGTTTCCATCTGGATACGCATTCTTAATATTTACAGCAACACAAATGTAATCAGACTGTGTTGTTGGTGTAGCAAAATATAATATAGTTTGTTACCTGTAAGAAAACAATTGTGTACACATTTGTGTGTATAATAATATATAAAAAGCCGCTTGAGATGGGGATATAAAAATGGGTTGAAAACAAGCACAAAAAGAATGCCATAACTATTTAATTTATTGGTTTCTCTCTCTTTATTCCACAAATAAAATATACAGAAATGCGTTCGTACATAAAAATATTATTATATTGATACTATCTAATTTTCATGTACAAAGGCAACATGGTGGGAAACGCAGGATTTGAAAAAGTTGATAAAATGATCATATTTGTCAAGTCGTAATGTTGATTTCGATAAAAATATAATATACACCATATGGTTCAGCATGCTTGAAACGGTAAATAAAATATTATGAACAAAAGAATGTGCTGGTATATATGCATAAAATAAATGTTCTGTGCGTCAAGCATCAAGCATTTTAGAGAAAACATGCAAGTGTATAGGCGATATGTAGTTCTCAATTACAAAGTAACACATTACGTTCCTTACGTGTTTCAGTGTGCTTATTGTTATCATCTAATGTCGCAAGCATTAAGTGGTTTATAAAACCGTTGTGAAACTCTAATAAACTGTTATAAAATAAACAGGTCTTTACATAACCATAGTTAATTCATAAAGAATTATGAAACAATTATTTCTTATATATCGACATTCTATCTTCCAACGTGTTTGAGTGAAAAATCGACTGAAATATAAAACATATTCTAAAATCTTGTTCTAGTCGAGAGCGTCATCATTGCATACTCAGTGTCGTTAATTGCATTAATAATATAGTATAATTCAAATAGTAGAAACTCTCCCCAGAAAAAGTTGTAAAAGTATTCGAAGGATACCGCTTCTTCTCTGTAATCATCTGAGGAATGTGCCATTTAATAAGGACGAAATAATCATTTCTTTGCATCTCAAGACCTAATGGGATATCTTCTTTAAAACAATCTAGTCCATGCATGACTACATATCGCGGTAACTCACAATTTGTCGCTTAAACTCTTCCACCTCATCATCGACGCTGGCCCGGAGCTCTTTCAGTTCCGTGGCCATCTCGTCGATGTCCTCTGCCATGCGCAAAAGCTTGGCGTCTTTCGTTGCCATTACAACATTGTTCACCTCTATTTCAGCTTCTAGCTGCTTGATCCTTTGTCGCAGTTTTTCACTTTCCTCTTCGACTCGTCTTCTTTCCAGACCCTCCTCGCCAGCCTGTCTGCTAAGCCTTCCTACTTGCGTCTCCAAGCTAGATATTTTTCCTGACCAACTAGTTTTTATATCAGATAAATGAAGATGTGCTTCCTCTAATTTTCTTTCTAACAATGCTCTTTCTCTCATAAGATCAGCTATTCTTTCATCAACTGTCACTTGATCGTTCGTTCCTAAAGCAACTCTTTGTTCTAACACAAACACTTTATCTTTCAAATGACGCACTTCTTCCTCGGTTTGTGCCAGCTGACAGGAAAGCTGAGTTCTTTCTCGCTGCGTAGAATGTCGTAGCGTCTCCATTTCATCCTGAAAGTTGTTATATTGTTACTAAAAATTAATTATCCTTTTACCTGTTATTTAATTATGCTCCGTAAAGCTTTATCGCAAACCTTACCAAAGCAACACTAATATATAAAGATGAATAGAATATCACAAATAATCCAAACCTTACAAAGCCAAGAATAAGCGAATAATGATGTATTTGATGATTAATGATAATACTGCTGAAAGTGAACAAAATCAAACAAAATGTACGAAGCAGAAATAAATGGCGTGTTAGATACACATTTTGTTGTTAAATAATTCAGAAAGTTTTTTCTTGTTAGGTAAAATTCATACAATATAAATTGAACTTTAAAAAACAGTAATGTGTGTAAATTATCAATTCATAATCCGAAATTAATTATTCCCCGCTGTTACGAGAGAGTAACAACATTGGAGTATGAGTATTGCTGTAAGAAGAATTTAGAGATTTTAAATCAAATTTCATTATAATAAAGACATTTTGTCGCTATTAAATCATTTTTGCTAAGTTAATACATGCATTTCTCCTATGTTACGTTTTACATCTTTTGCACCAAGGAGAGAATTACATAAAGAGCAACACTGATGTAAGGAAAATCTATAGAAGTTATTTATGTTGCAGAATAGCAGCAAAGCTTTGAAGACGTACCTCTAGCATCAGCAGTAGCAGCAGCGAATTAGCGGAAATTACCGCCTACTCTGATCTCCAATGCTCTCGTTTATCAAAGTTTTCCAATCTTCATGCGTTTGTTGTTTTCACAAAACTTTTAGTATCACTTAGGTATTGCTCATGTTCCATAACCAAATAAATAAACGTTGTTCATTCACAACTTATGTTTTTGTATAAAAAAAAATAGAAAAAAAGAACGCTTACCTTTCCTGAATTAAATTTTAGCAAAGTGGAAGTCATTACTTCCTATGAAATAAATGAAAGGTATTTTACGAGTATAAATGAAAGTTATGGAACATATGCGCATTTGTTTCATTTAAATGAATATTTGAAATGGTCGAAACAATACAATGTTTAGAGTTGTGACCGTAAGTCGCAAATATATCATAGATTGGTCTTGTGTGTCAATATATGTGTAAAAAAAAAATGTGCAGAAAAAACATAGCCAACCGTGACAAAACAAAAAGCTATAAATAGAATTAAAAAAGTATTGAAAGGCTTTCAAATAAAAATATAGTCATTAAAAAGAAGCGTGCTTATATCTAAAAAGTATATGGTCATAAATTTGACAATAGGTCATATGACATATAACTGGTACATAATACAAAAACGAGGAACATTAAAAAAAAAAGATAAATTATAACAATTGTTTTTTCCATGCACCTCTATCTTTGTCCATGGATGTCCCACATATGAGTATAAAGTACAATAGACAATATAAAAAAATTTGTAAAACTTAATTTAACATTAAAATTATATATCATAATATTAAACTTACATGTAATGTATTTTTATTAAGAGAAAATAAAGGTAAAAATAAAACTATTTTTTCAGAAAAACTTTCATTTTATCATGATGCTATAGAGAATTTGTGAATAAATTTTTACATGTTTAAATTATATCAGTAATTGTACACACTGTAAGTCACATTTTCTTTAGATAATACTTCCCTCTTGCACATATGCATGTTAAAAATAAAATAATGTACAGGGTGTTAAAGAAAGGAGTCTAAAATTTTAAAGTCTCATAATACACTAACCAGCAGCATCTTGTACTCCTTTTAGTCTGTACTATTAGTCTCTAAAGTTTTAGATCCTTTTTTAACAAAAAATAATTGATTTTTCATCAAATAATATACTTTAAAGTTTCATTTGCAACTAGTAATGTATTTCATATGCAGGTAAAAATTAAAAATAATCATCACACATTGTATAATTTGTATAGAAAAACAGTAGTTAGACATGTTTAGTTGAATGCTGAATATTGCAAGTTCATTACATATCAGTGTGATATAAATGATGTATTGGGATTTTAAATAAAAGTTTGAAAACCAAAAACATATATAAAACTTCTCCAATTAAAATGATTAAAATATGCTCCATGTTTACTTACTCAAGTAGTGTCATTTTGCAACTTATATTACATTAACACAATTACATGAAATAATTATGTTAACATAATCCAAAAAGTTCATGATATATTCCATGTGATACTCAAAATCAAATAAAGCAACTACACAATGTACTCACCTGTACATTATTGAGTTCATCTTCATATCGCCTCAGACGAGAAACCTCAGACTTCAAGCTATCAATTTCTGCAGTAGTTGTTTTTAAATGTTGTGTTTTTTCATCCACTTCTTGCTCCTTGACTAATAGCTGAAGTGAAAAAAAGAGCACAGATAATAACAATAGTTTCATCAAAATACATAGTAATATTTAATAATTTATTGAACAGAACATACTAAATGTTTAACTTTTGCTAATTCTTGGATTTGTAAATCTTCTAGTTGTTCTGCATCTTCTTGAAAACTATACAACTTCTTTTTATATTCTGAAACAGGGTAATATCAACAATAACTCATACTTTTGTTTTTTAAATTACAACTCAAATATAATTACACTTTTTAAACACTAGTACAATAAACTTTTTAAACATGGCATAGTATCTACCTTCTGCATCTTTAACTGCTAATTCCAATGAATGTTTTGTGCGTTCTACATTTTGTAATTCTTCTTCTAATTTAATTTTTTCTTTTTCTTGTTTCTCAACTATTTTCTTCCATTCCTTTTCTTTCTCTAACAGCTTCACTTTCCATTCTTTTTCCTCCTTTTCCATCCATTTCAACATCTCTGTCTCTTTCTTGACTAACCTTTTCCGCCATTCCTCTTCTCTACTCTCAAATTTCTTAATGTCTTTTGCAGAAAGTTGCATGCCGTCACTTAATTTAAGGTCAAAAGTACTATCCCTTTTCAAAGAAATTGGTGGAGAAGGTGATGCTGCATTTTCTTCTCGTGAGCCGTCTAATGAAATTTGAGATCCACTAATACCACATGTAGATCCCGCCTATAAAAAAATTACTTTTACTCACTAATATTCAATTTCCATGACAATAGTAAATTACATTAACAGTGAATATTCAGTGTATAGTGTAATATTTTCGTGAATCATGCAACGGTACTACCGGAAGACGTTCCAACAAGTTTTAAATTATTATCATAATCAAACGTTAAATATATGCGGGTAATGCTAATGAATCGTCTGCAAAACATATGTACAGATAACTAGTGATATGAAATTTAAATACTGTCTGCGTTTCCTCAACAATCAATAAGTCTTTAAACTACTGCGAAATATTAATCGGTATCTATAAATAAATTAGTAGTGGACTGATAATCGAGATATCGCTTTGCATTGATAATATTCCACTGTCCAGAAATGATGTGTTTACCTGAGACATATGCCTCGAATTAATGCCGCGCACGTTACCGGCATTTCTAACAACTGTTGACACATCGTTCCCGATTTCCTCTCGTATTTTATTTTTTAGCGTCGCGAACATAGTGCAATAACCTCCAAGAGAACAGGGATTGACAACTACCACCTGTCAACTTCGATGTTGCGCTGACTTTGTGCCCGTTTATTAGGGCAACGTTATGAAAAATTAGGGAATGAAAAATTCGCGTGTCCGTAATTCATTCTTCAACGATACACCGTTTAACTCGGTCTCATTGAGTCATCGTGAAATCATGCGGTGCACTTACGACGACGAAAGTTTCACACACTATCCAATTCATACATCAAAGACGGACGACTGCCATACTGGCTATCCTGGCTACTTGCTGATAAGTAGACACTGATTTAAACTTCGATGTATATGTGCATGTGTGTATGTATTAGGTAGTGTTCCCTATTTAAGAAAATTAGTGCGACAAACACCATTCAGCGCGAAATGCAAAAGACTAAACAATGCTCTATAAAAGTTACGTTAAATAATGACGATTCACGAGATTTTTTTTAAATGACATCTAAGGAAGATGTAACACGTGTATACTTCGATTAAAAAAGAACGAGAACTATGCACTAAGTAGACGCAATACTTTTTATCTTCCCTTATGCAGTGATAATTATATAACTTTGTCACGGTTTTTTACTGAACTGCGTTTTGGTGCAGTCGCGCCTTCTTAATATAATCGTGGACCAATAAAAGTATCGATATGCTAGGGATATTTTGTTTCCATAGAGTAATTGTGAATAATACTGTGACGAATTAGTAGAGTGGAAATAAAGAGAACTGTTTGATGCTCGTGAAGTGTTGATTCGTTTTTGCTCGTTAATACATGAATTTTAAAAGAATAGAATCTATTATTTTGCTTCATAACCTTTGTGTTTTATTCGCATAAATTAAACTTATCTTTATCACAACAAAATTAGCCTATGACGTATAATAAAGAACATTAATCGTAGTATAATACTCTATATGTATTCGCTTAATAATCCTACGAAATAACACAGTACTTTGCACTATTTTAAACACTGATTTTTTAAGTACATATATTTAAATATAGTTAAAAATATTTTAAATTTCGTACCTATAATTTAATAAGAAGGTCACTGTTACCACCTACGGTTGCGCGATGACGTACCAATAGTAACCGTTGGTAGAACTGAATCCTATAGCGTGTATGGCGGATATATTGAGAATTACTAGTGTTTTCAAATTTGACGGTTTAGAAGTGCGTGTCGGGTTTGTGCGGGTTTGTTTTTCGTGTGGTTTTATTAATATCTTATTGTTGTGCAGTTGTATAAACGATGGGGGACGTCTGGAACGAGACAGCAATAGGAAAAAGTGTTTACGATGTGTAAGTAGCTTTGTAAAATTCTAAATGCTGTGTGTTATTATTTTTGTCTTGTACGGCAGGGGGTCTGTTTCCTTTGTTAGTTGTTTCTTTACTGCTGTTCTCTATTACTGTACAATGATGGTTATCCAGTGATTTCAATGTGCTTTTGTATCGTATTTTTTAATTTTCATTGTAACGATATTGTTATACGATCACAAATGGAGTGATTTTTAAAAACATAATAGTCTGAAGTTCAGAATAAAATTTTAGCATATAACAATTGGTTTTTTTAAGACGATTTTGAAAATCGTTATTATACATCTTTTGACGTGACTTGCATTTTAAACGATATTATGTCTAGAATTGTTAAGTAGAATGTAACTGTCAATTGTGACGTATGCACTAGGGAATAGTTTTATCGACAGTACCGCACCAAACACGTGACCAATAAACAAATATACTTCAAATATTATCAAAATAGTTTTTATTATTACAAGTTTGTAAGTTAAATCGTTATATTGAGAAATTACATTCCATTAGTGCGTGAAGTATTAATAGATGTTAAATGTGTTTTGTGCGGTTCAGATTTCGAGGTTAAACATATGTTGGATGTTAAAATTGATATACATATAATAACGCAATTTAATTGCTTCTTGTGAATTAGTTATTTATTACTAGACTGTGAGTGGGGGGTCATACAAGTATATCTTTTGGAGACAGATTTATTGAAATTGGAGTCAGAAATGTGTTCACTTTATATAGTAATGGTTATATTAGGTTCTAAACTGAGTAAGAATCTTATTCAACTTTATTAAACTTTTTTGTATACCAATTTGTAGACAGTTATTTGTGTCATAAATATATAATTCCATAGTGTACTAATTTTCAATTATAAACACTATATAAAGAAGAAAGCTTTATGTATGTATATTAATATTATTAATCTAAAAATATAGTTTTATAGAGTAAACTATCATTATTCAAAGTATGTTATTAATTATAACTATACATTATATTATAGTATCTTATTGTTTCCATTATGATTTTATAGTAATTTCTTAAATGCTATGTTTGTAGATTGTAACATTATATATTAATGATGTGTAGATGAAACTATAAAATGGTAATTGTCATTAAATTCTTGCAAATATTGGCTAACTTTATCAAAGGTAATAATAATTTTCTTATGAAATATAATTTATAAGCGATTTTTGAATCATTGTATTTTTCAAGTACTATGTAATCATATATGTATAGTATAGTTGTCAATAGCAAACGTACACTATAGAGATCAAGGAACACTGTTTAGTCAAATTGTAATACAAGTCTGACATTGTATAATCTAGATTTAATTAGAACTGAATTTTGATATATTCAATATTAATTCTTTTACATATAAAATGTGCAGAATTTTGTAAAACATTGTAATATTACACTTGTAAGTTAGATATTTGAAAAATTGTTTTTTCAATTAAAAAAATTTTTAAATGATACGAGTTAAATGCTTTACATTTTCTATATACCATACATAGTAAACATTGACTTCCTCTACTGTTCATTTATACAGGTAGGATTTCCTAGGACCTATGACAGAGTTAGGGTCATTCTTTATTGCAGTGGTTCTCAAGTCATATCTACATTACATGTTGTATTTAAGACATAAAACAATGGAGTAAATCAAACAGTTTAAATAAAATAGCAAAATGTGCATCGTACAATACATTATAAATTTTGATATTGCATATTACTAGGTTCTATTAATTTCTTGATGATAATAATTATACAACATTTATACCCTAAAAATTTTCTAGTACGTGTAAACATACTGCATTAATGATTTTTGCCGCTTATACGTGGGCAGCTTATAGTCCGAGCGGCAAGCATCATTAGAGTGCGCGTGCTAATTATACATTTTAGGTGCACCTTATACCTGAATTTTAAGCGCCCAGGCTCATTTTTGAATCCTAATACATATTTTTAAATAAGAACTTTATTTTTTATTTGCTATATTACGAGATTTACATATGAATTTAGGAAGTGGTTATTTTGGCAATGATTAATATGCTGTGTAAGAAGTTGTATTTCCTGGAATGGTGGAAACGCAGGATTAGTTTTATCAGAAAAGTGGAATCATAAAACGGGCGATGTGCTGGGCAATAACCACTCCGTAATCTATCGAAGCCGTACACGTCAGAAATTTATGAAATTTCCTTGATTCGGAGTATACATTATCCGGAAATTTCGTCATTGTCTGTACAGTACTCGAAAATTCATAAACACTTTACTTAAAACACAAAAAAAATATAATTGGGGAACAATATTGAAGTAGTTTTATTGTCTGTGAACCAACCTAATAACAATATTCGAAATTCGTTTTTTCTACTTTCTCTTCAGATTTTAACGTATCCTGCTAACTTTAAGGAGTAACATATATACTGTATTATCTAATAAACCTCGAAATTTAGAAACCAAGGGAATTATTTCTGATCAGGTGACGACCCCTTGCCTCTTATCCAAAGAAGATAAAAAAACCGCTAATACAATATAAATATTTTCTTAATCTTTATTGTAGTTTTGTAAAAATCTATGAATGGGTGAGATTTTCATGGTGAAAATAAGAGATATAACATTATTACGCGTATGTGTGATTCGTGGATCGTAAGAAGAATTAGCGGCAAATGAAGGTATGCATAGATTTTAGCTATTAATCATTTATATTGTGTTGATATTCACGATGATTCAATTGCAGCGGGCTCGTCATAAACACTTTTGGAAAAATGTTATCACAACGTTGAAAAGAAACTGACCTCCGGTCAAAGGCTCATAATACGGTCTTTCCATTGTGGTAGGTGGTGATGCATTCACACGTTTTCTTTCTTTTGTTGCATATGTGCGCATTAAGTCTCTATGAGTTATACATATCTTCAAGTTCTAGGTATTATTGACGGAAGACGTATAGTAAACTACTCATGTTTCAGGTACTGGTGGATTGTCCAAACTCTGTCCCAGTTCAGTGTCTCCTTCACTTGAACGTCAATCGATGTAAACATGGAAAGAAACTAAAACATTCCAAATGTTAACAAAAACCTGTAATTTTCCTGTTGGTAAAAACAGCTACCTAAAGGGAAGGGTCTATACAACTGTGTCCCTCGACACCAAAAGTATCCCTCGACACAAAAAGGGTACCTTCTGCGACCACCACTATGTGCCCACCAACAATACTTAACCAGGTAACTGCGGAATTTACATTTAAAAATCCCTTGCGGGATGCGTATTAAAATCAAGCAGTGACGAGTATACACGTCGAACGCAGGACAAATGCTCCTATTACAAATTTTACGAAAAAACTAAAGCAGCACACATTTTTATTCGATAAAATATTAACAATTCATTGTTAACAAGGTTATTGTTATTAAAAACTTAAAAATTGTCAAAAAATAATAAAATTCATAAACATTACAGAAAAATTAAATTAATAAATTAATTCTTCTGAGGAACGCACTTTACGCAAAACAATTCGGGGAATATCAGTTGCATCGAGGAAAATAATCAACTCAGTTTGTAAGAAGCTATACACTGTACGGCGAATAACGAAATAACCGATATACCAAAGAGAATAACAAACTTTTTGTTATAAAATACACCGCAGTTCTGTTGGTAATATAAAGGAAACATACCACTAAATGACGTTTTTATTACTTCTAACTAAAATTTGCAATTTTTGTAGTAAATGGTAATCTTTTTGTTGCACGACGAGTATACTCGTCAACCGCAACCGAAATAAAGTTTTGGATTCACTTGTATACACGTCGAACGCAGTTAACTGGTTAAGTAGCTTCATCATTATTCCTTTTCTATCAACTTAAATTTCTCCGTTGACGTTATTTCGATCAATCAATCGCGATGTTGTATATACCCGTATTCACCAGGTTCCAATGAGAAACACTGCGTGTGACCGATACACGCAGCAAGCGTTTCGTCTCATTTCATTTCGTCTGCTTGCAAGTCTTGCAACCCCCCGCTCTTCTCTGTTTTTGTCATTCGACTCTCCCTCCATCCTATATGCCGTCTGCTCTTTATCTCGGGCGCAGCCGTCTCGCTCTTCCTTTCCCAAATCGCATGGGAGTTCGCTGCTCCGTCTCTGTCGCTCTTCTGAACCGCGCGTTACACGAATCCTCCCGACCTTAAACCCTCCACACGTTGCTCCCTGCTGCCTCCCGATCTCTCCTCCGTCTGTGCGCGGCCGCACAGTTGCGTTCAATCCGTCGCTGGAGCAAGAGGTGTCGTGGCGTCGGTGTATTCTGACGAAAATAAACGTGGGTTATCGCTGAACAGACTATCCCACGAATCGTCGATTACAAGACTGGAACTGTTCCCCGATCGTTCTTCCTAATCCGCAGTTCTTGATAATCTGTTCGCGATGGAGGACGACAGACCGGCAAGAAAGCGATCGCTTTCGTCCAAGAGGACGGTGTTCAAGTACAAACTGCTGATTCAGTGACAGACCGTGTTGTGTTCAGAAGTGAACAAACGTTGTCGCGTTTTTCGTCAATTTTGATCTTCGAACTGAATTTACTGAAATTCAAGGGGACAGTGAACTGGAAGGATAGTGTCCGCGGATAAGTGCACGCTATGGACTAGTGTATCATCCGGCGTGTCGTCTTAACTCAGAGTTATCTTCTCATTGATCGGTTCTGAAGCATATAGGTCGTTCGCGGTTTGGAACAGTTCCGCTTTCGGCCGAGATTTTTTTGGACCGTCCGGGTAGATACGAAAACGTACCACATATAACCGTTGATATTCACTATCGACAGTTGATCGTTAAGACTGACTGGACACATCGATATGCTCGCCTGAGACTCTTTCGGGAGTGTATTGACAGTCCGTGCCAAATAAACGTGCCAAAGTGTTTCATTGAAAGTACAAGTTTTTATTAGTATTATCTTAGCGTAGACTGCTGTTATCGTTGTTGTTATTGTTATTCTTTTTGTACTGTTTCGTTTGTAAGCTCGTTTTGTACATTATATACCGTGACTGAAAGGGGGGAGGACTCTTTGATTAGTGGTACTTTGTACTGGCGTTATTTTTAAACGCAACCGATGAGGAACAATTACCGCAATATGTTTTTCGCTGGCTACGGATATTCCAATCAACATCAGAACAGCCCACCGTCGCCGGCCAGGGCTAGCGTATGGGGTGGCGTTTACAGCCCGTTTCGAAAGTGAGTACATGTATCTGTTGTACTTTCTGCCAATGGCAGGCATCTACATTGCTCCAATATGTGGTTACTGCAGTGACCCTTTTATGCATTTATGGAATTTACAAATACATGATAATGCAATAAGAGTGAAATTTTAATGCAAAATTAATGGAATCATTTTATTTCTGCTCCAATACGTCTACATTGCCTCTTTCATGCATTTATAGTATTTACAAATGTATGATGATGCAGTAAAAGTGAAATTTTAATACAATATTGATCTAGTCATGATTTTATTTATTAATTGATAAAAATCTGAGTCAATTTAATGTTATTTTGAATAAATTAGTTTTCAAAAGTTTAATTTACATACACAGTCGCAGTCTAGCAATTCATATTCTTTTAGATCGATTATGTATTTAAATTTTTATTTTAGTATAAAATAAATTAATAAATGTGTAGTCATAAATAAGTGAAGTAAAAGTTATATTATATCGACGTGTCCTAGAACATATGTTGCGCAACCTTGGTCACTGTTATTGGTTTTTTATTGTAGAGGATAGCATTCTTCTACAGTGACGGTAGAATAGATTATGGTGGAATATAGTTCAGAAATTATTTTCTGTTTTTTTTTATTATTTAGTAAGCTTTAGTATCATGATTTTCATTTTAGGTATGAACGTAAATTATTCACTTTAATTTTGGATGAGCTTAGAAAAATTTTTAATGTATTCGATCTAGATTACATTTACAGTTATGTATAAAGATTCTTGCCGCTTGAAGCTTGGTGACTTACAGTACAAACGGTAAGAATCATCTGAACGCTGTATTCCCTGATGAATTGAATTTTTGTTTATTAGCATTGACGGTAATTGATTCCTTATGAGAGAAGCTAACTGTATTGAGTTTGTTTAGCAGTAGGACTGTAAAATAGGTCGTATTCGCTATATTTTATGCGATGCGGAGAAGCGTTCGTCCCATTTCGTTTCATTTTACTCCACTTTGTCCCATTTTTCTGGTGATATGACGTCATTCTTGAGCAAGGTACACCTTTATACATATATGTACAGAGTAACTTCAAAAAAATATCAAGCATCAAAATAAGTTCGCACTACTAATTAATTTATTTCTGCAAATTAGTCACATATGAGACATAGAAAGACTATCTTACCTGTTGACATTAGATACTTGTAATCTATTGTAAATTATAATATATTGTGGATCGAGGAATTACTTGAATAGTACTATTTAAACGTTATTATTCACGTAATGAATTATCTTTTTTTATCAAAAGTAATTATCACATAATTGCACGTTAATTTATTCAATCCAGGAAATCCATTGTTTCCGAATTATTTTATCATTTATCTTTTAATGAAAAAAATGTTTAAATCGTGCAATTCTAAAGTGCAATATTGAATTTCATGTTGGAAATTCTGTAGTAGATATCATCTTATTTTAAATAATTAGTTCAAGCAAAATTTTATTTTGGAATAATTTATTTACTCTTAATATAAAAGGATATGATTTTCCTAAGTCATTTTACAAATATTGCTATTATGACTTCTATTTTTATTTACTTTTCACTTTTTGTTTCAAGTAATTTCTGTTCAGGTTTAATTCATAGATTAACTTGCAGTATTTACTTATCTTGACAAATTTTGTAATTTGCAATTAAGTAAATTTTGTTCAAATGTATTAGAGTTGTTCGCACAAACATAGTATCATGTTTATTTTTCACAATAGGATCTCCCACAACTAAATTTCCATGTCTGTAGAACATTTTTGGGATAATACAGATACATTTGAGAAAACACTATTTTGTAAAAAAAATCTTAAACAATCACTGTGTTAATCTATACAGTACTATATATAGCAGATTGGTAATTGTTATTAATTATACAAAACTACTTTCGCCCACCTCTCGAATCTTAAAATTATCTTCGAAAATGTTCCAAAGAGTAGTCGTAATGAAAGAACGAGAAAAAAAGTTTTCATGGCGGAAACGAGTCGGTGGATTAAAACGACGAAAGCAACATAAAAGATGCTTACCCTTTCGTTATCTAAATTTAGATTGTTTTTCGTGAATATTTTGGGGCAAACCACGCTCTGTTACTTTTTCGATGCGTGACGGTTGGGTTCGGTTTGACAGCTACGAATAACAGCGACAAATGTTTCATTGTACGGCTGAGAATCAAAGAAAACTGCTAAATGCAGGTTTCTTTGCTCCGTGCATGATTTAAGTTCTGCGAAGCTCGGAGTCATTGTACTTAACAGATGTATTCAAAAGTCTGATGTTTTTGATTTTTTTATCCTTTGTCGTTGATAAATATGATTTATTTGACATGAACGTACAACAAATTGAATACAATCAAACTATTATTAGTTGAATACAGAGTTTTTTATTTTATACAAATTTCAAGTTTCATGAAATTCAGATTTGTTTCTTCAATCAAATGTGCTTGAAACGGCTGAAGTATTCCAATTTTCTGTTTTTGCTTTTATTACAGAGAAATTATTTTTAACTTAAAATTAGAACATTTGTCATGAGGTTTAATTTAATTGTGAATTGGCGAATGATTCAAAATAAAGGATAGATATTAGAATATTTATTTTGGATATTTAATTATCTTTTCTTTGGAGTAAGAAATTGCTAAGTGATGATGTTCTCAAAGTATGACTGATAAAACCATACTGACAGAAATATGACGACCTTGAACAGTGAAGAGTTCAGATGAACCCGACGTGGAACATCCTAAAAAGTTATGTATACGCTTGAAAAACATTCTACATTTTTTAACGTTAATGTATCAAATATTTACTCTGACCATTGGAGAAACATGTGCAAATCGTAAAAGTATCGAAGCCTTCACCTTTTGTTATTGTGAAACTTCATTCACTTACTTCAATATTTAATTAGTGTTATAGTAAGTACTTTACAGTCTCGTTAAAGTGGCTAATAAAAACTCAAAGCACATGTTAGAATAAACAATGTGTGAAATATGAAAAGAATAATGTTAAGAATACTGACATTCACAAGTATACAATCACTTGAATTTTATCTTAATGAACGTTTTTTTATTATTTTTACTGAAACTTTTAACTCTTTACTCTTATGAATGATGCAATTGGTTATACTGTTTAACGAAGAACTTTTTCTCTTTTGTAGCGTAACAAACATTATTTAATAATTCCTTTTTAACAGTCAGGGACCGATGTTGGGTCAACTATGACCCATACTCAAGTTGAAGTTATACGTATTTTAGAATTGCTTTCTGAAATACTAAACACCATTAAATGATAATTTGTATACATAGACAAAGAGAATGCGTTTAAAAAATAAAAATTTCTCATTTTTTACTTTGTCTATTTACACAGTGTGTATACAATTTTATTTGTGTAAATGAATTCGTTCAAATATGTTTCATACATTTCACACATTTTGCAGCAGAATGCATTTTCTATTCGCTGTTATTCAGTTTATTATATTTATTGTAGATTCGAGACGACGAACCCGTATTTAGTATTCAAAAATTTACTCACTATTAGCGGGATGATTGACTAATTTCGTATACCTAGTGTAAACGATTTAAATTGTAGGATTCTTGTATGTACTACGAAAAACATTGCAAAGCGTGAGTATCAGAAGGGGGGGAATAGGGTTCAAACGACGAATTCTGTTGTATACACGAAACGACAATGAGTCATGAGTAAGCTATGGTGATTAATAGTTTGTTTAGCAGGCCATTTGCACAGAGCGAGATATTGCTTCGGAATAAATCCTTTGTTTGCTTATTATTATACCCAAATTATGCTTCGACTTAACTTCTTTCACACGGATCCTAATTCATTGAATCCATAATTAATTTATGCAGATGTCTCTCTTGCTTCACATGTTAATTCAATCTACAATTTCAGGAAATTAAATGCTAATTTCAGTGTACCTTATAATATTGAAGAAAACCTATGTCAGAGGAAACAAAAATTTTATTTCATTCACGGTTCGGTATACTCACTGTTTTTTTAGTATTAAATTTTCTTCGCCGAACGTGTCACGGAATTTTTGTTAGCCAACCGGGCTGAGCTTTCCATTGTCTTTCACGGGAGGAAAATTCCGTTCCGTTTTCAGCCGGAAATCTGTTGGGAAACAGAGGAAGCCTTCCTATTTATCATCAGAGAGGTCGCGATACGGCGATCTTTGTGCACGGTCGAATGGTCGCGCGAACGTCGAACGAAATTGCATCGATCTATATGCGCATAGGTTTTCTCCCCAAATGTCGCATGCATTCATCGAGGCTTTAATCAATTCTTTTTTTTTTTTTTTTCGCCCACCGGACACCCACGACGCAAAGAACGCGACGACGGTCTGAGGCCCGAGGATCGCTGCGTGAGCGATGCTTCCATTCGACAGGGCCGAGCTAATTGTTTAACCGGGCAAGTTAATGCGTTTAACGATCCGGTAATTGAGGGAACTTTGCACGTCAACGTGAACGCGCTCGTTCTGATAACGTTCAACCCGGCGTGGTACGGGATGATATAAGATTAAACTCGATTTACCGGTGTTCGAGTGACAATGGAAGACAGTCCACGTGATTATCGTTGCGAAAATAGATCACCTTTGCGTGTAATTTTGTTGGTACATAATTGGTATTAGGCCGCAGAGTTAGGCACAATTTTATTTGAATAATACAAAGTGAAATGGTGGTACAGACTCCTCTCGATTATCGTCCCGAACTTGGGTCCGCGCTAGGACAATAATCTTATAGGGAGACATGCTTCAGATTCTTGTAAATTCGTTTTTCGCCCGAAACCCGGGCTTTGTCAACAAAAACGCAGGGGCAACAAAGTGTGCACTTGACAGGTTTCACAGACCCCCCACCCAATGGTAGGGATAACGCCTGGACAATAATCGTGTAGAACAAGCTAGCTCGAAGTCATTTTTTGATTCTCAATTATATTTTTTATTATAGAATTTTGTAAACTAATTTGACACCAGTAGTTTACTTATATTGCGATTTAGC